TACGAGGGGATGTGTGTCAGTTCTGACACATTAGCATCCCCGCAATGTGAGTTCGACACCATTTCCAATAAACCTTGTAGTGAAACAGATAACAACCCGATTTTCCCCGCTAGTGTTCCAGAAAACCCCAACAAGGACGACATCAATCAAAAACCGCTCACAAATGGATTATGTACTGACATGACTGACACTGATATTGCGACCGTACCCACGGTTTTGTCCATTCCAACCCAGAACCCCAATGATCCCAAGATGGAGCCTGAGGGGCACGCTAGGAACAGTGACAAGGGGGCTAACATCTTATTAGACGTTTTGATGCCCCCGCAATGTGAGTCTGCTATTGCCCTTTCACCCATTCATTCTCGAACAGCTGGCAAGCCTCTTCATCATCTGAATAGTTCTTACACACACGTCGACGCCGCGAAGACATCATGGTCCACGTCCGCTCGACTAGCTGCTGACGAGAAGAAATCCGCTCCAGTGAAGACTCTCGAAGAAATGATCCTGTCATATTACCACTGACACTTGCACATGTTCAAGAAATCTAACGCACAACGGTTGCCACCACGAAGAAGATACGGTTTTCGAGTGGACTTGATACATGGGGCGCAGCCTCAGGCAAGTTGCATAATTCCTCTATCTCCAGCAGAAAATGCTGCGCTAGAAGAGATGATCACAACAGGACTTGAGAACGGGACTATCCGTCGCACCACGTCTCCATGGGCTGCCCCTGTGCTTTTCACAGGGAAGAAAGACGGCAACCTGCGTCCTTGCTTTGATTATAGGAAACTCAATGCCTTAACCACAAAAAACAAGTACCCCCTACCCTTAACTATGGATCTGGTAGACAGCCTCCTAGATGCTGAAGACTTCACAAAACTCGACCTGCGGAATGCGTACGGCAATCTACGAGTGGCGGAAGGGGACAAGGACAAACTTGCATTCATATGCAAGCAGGGCCAATTCGCACCGTTGACAATGCCTTTTGGCCCAACTGGAGCGCCCGGGTATTTTCAATACTTCATCCAAGATATATTATTGGGACGTATTGGTAAAGACGTGGCCGCGTTTCTAGATGACATCATGGTTTACACAAAATCCGGAGTGAACCACGAAGAGGCAGTAGATAGTGTGCTAGCCATCCTCGCCAAACACAACCTATGGCTCAAACCAGAAAAATGTGAGTTCTCGAGGAAAGAAGTCGAATACTTAGGACTCATCATCTCGAAGAATAAGATCAGCATGGACCCAACAAAAGTCAAAGCCGTCAAAGACTGGCCAGCCCCTCAAAATGTGTCAGAACTACAACGATTCATAGGATTCGCGAACTTCTATCGACATTTTATAAATCAATTTTCTAAGACTACACGACCATTGCACAATCTGACCAAACTTAATACTCATTACTTATGGGATGAAAAGTGCGAAGAGGCATTCGAGAGCCTCAAGAATTCTTTCACATCAGCCCCGGTTTTGAAGATAGCTGATCCGTATAAAGCCTTCACTCTTGAGTGCGACTGTTCTGACTTCGCACTAGGTGCTGTCCTATCTCAACGTTGCGACGAGGACGGTGAGCTACACCCGGTTGCGTACCTATCACAATCCCTTGTCCAGGCTGAGCGTAACTACGAGATCTTTGACAAAGAGCTACTGGCAATTGTTGCATCTTTCAAAGAATGGCGTCACTATCTAGAAGGTAACCCTAATAGATTGGATGTCATTGTCTACACCGACCATAGGAACTTGGAATCTTTTATGACTACAAAACAACTCACACGACGTCAAGCTCGGTGGGCTGAGACTTTGGGGTGCTTTGACTTCAAGATTAAATTCCGACCAGGTCGCCATGCAGCAAAGCCAGACGCACTATCACGTAGACCTGATTTAGCACCGGACGACGAAGATAAACTATCATTTGGACAACTCTTGCGGCAGGAGAATATCACACCTGACACCTTCCCTGTAGAGTTAGCCGCAGTCGACGGATTCTTTGAAGATGAGACAATTCACCTCAAGAACGCAGATCATTGGTTCGAAATTGATGTGCTAGGAGTTCAAGAAGAAACACCAGAAGACAAGACAGTTGATCAGCCTATAAGCACGGACAATGAAATCATAAACCAGATAAGAGTAGCCAACAAGAAGTGCAAGCGTATTCAGGAACTGATGTGCATTGAACCCCATCTCGACTAAAACAAAGATAGCAACGAAGAACTACACGGTAAAGGATGGAGTGCTATACAACCAAGGAAAGATAGAAGTACCCGATAACACTGACATTAAGTACATGATTTTAAGGAGCAGGCACGACACACTTTTGGCAGGACACCCGGGAAGGGCCAAAACACTCAGCCTTGTAAGAAGAAGTTTCACCTGGCCATCGCAGAAAGCCTACGTCAACAGATACATAGACGATTGTGACTCTTGTCTGCGAGTCAAATCAAGCACGAGGAAACCCTTTGGCACATTGGAACCTCTCCCTATACCGGCTGGCCCTTGGACAGACATTAGCTACGATCTTATTACTGGTCTACCCTTGTCAAACGGCTATGACAGTATCCTCACTGTAGTAGATAGGCTAACTAAAATGAGCCATTTCCTTCCGTGTAGAGAATCCATGATGGCAGAAGACCTTGCGGACCTCATGACTAAGAACGTCTGGAAACTACACGGGACACCCAAAACAATCATTTCGGACAGAGGCAGCATCTTTGTGTCACAGATCATGAAGGAGCTGGACAAGCGACTGGGAATCAGGTTACACCCATCCACGGCGTTTCATCCAAGAACAGACGGTCAAAGTGAGATTGTCAATAAAGCTATTGAACAGTACTTACGACATTTTGTCCAATACCGACAGGACAATTGGGAGTCATTACTGCCTACAGCTGAATTCGCCTACAACAACAGGGATCACGAGTCGACGGGAATATCACCATTTATGGCTAATTATGGGTATAACCCAATGTTTAATAAAATCCCGTCAGCTGACCAATGTGTACCGTCGGTAGAAAGAAGACTTCAAGTGCTAGACGATACTCAAAGGGAATTAAGCCAGTACCTTGAGATTGCTCAAGAAAAGATGATGGTCCAATTCGACAAAAGCGTCAGAGACACTCCAGATTGGCGCATAGGAGATCAGGTGTGGTTGAACGGGAAGAACATCTCAACTACACGGCCGAGCCCTAAGTTGGAGTACAGATGGCTAGGTCCCTTCTTTACTAATGAAAAAGTCTCAAATTCTACTTATAGATTGGATCTCCCCTTGTCGATGAAAGGCATACATCCAGTGTTTCACGTCTCAGTACTACAAAAACACAGCCCGGACTCAATACCACAAAGACAACAACAACCAATCAAACCGATTATCATCGACAATCAAGAAGAATGGGAGGTTAATGAAATATTAGATTGCAGAAGAAAATTCAATAAATTGGAATATCTTGTCAGTTGGAAGAACTTCAGCACACAAGATAACTCATGGGAGCCAGAAAGCAACCTCAAGAATTGTGTGGAATTAGTTAAATCATTCAATTCAAAATTTCCGGAAGCGGCTAACAGGTACAAGAGGAGGAAACGGAGAAAGTGAGAGGGCTATGCTTTTTCCCACCGGGTTTTTTAATGCAGCCCGGGGAAAGAATGCAGAGTTTGCAAGAGGAAACTTGGGCATTAAAGGGGGAATAGTGTTATGAACTGAACACGTGACACTTTAAGATCACATGTCACAGATTTAGATTATCACTTGTGACTGCGCCACGTTGTACTTTCTCTTTCCCTTCATCCGACAATCATCATAAGGAAAGAAGATACTAGATAAAGAACCCTGATTGACTCCTTCAACCCCGTTGCCATTACCCCTGAGACCCGCTCTTAACATATCATCAAGACAAAACATTTTATAATGACAATTTTCCTGGTCTCTGTCAAGGCTTAGATGAAGATTGTGGTGAACAAGTATATATCCCATGTTAGAGGAAGCAAGATTTCTAAGACTACTCCCAAGTAAAGTTAGATGAGATAACTATGTACCAATAATCACTTCATCATCCACACTTCACTCACATATATTCCATTCACAATCTCTTTCTATGTGACCCAATGACCTATCAAGTAGCCCAACCACACAAAATAATTTGATCACAGCCTACGTGGCAATTTTACACGCTATCCTCGCTGTGCGCCTATCCTTCTTGCTGCAGACCTGCCACCGCAATCTGATAAGTTCATGTCAAAAAACCTGGTACTGGGAGTCGAACCCAGGTTACCAGGACATCAGGCAGATCAAAACCTGGTGTCCTAACCACTAGACGATACCAGGATGGACTGGAAAACTGGATATGGTTTTTCGACCCGAGCGAGATCATCGATACATTTTTAGCTCCACAAAGTATTTTCAAATGAAAACTCGCAATAAGCTTATTCTTGACTCAATTTCCCATGAGCATTAGAGGGATGGTGCATTGTGGTGCTTTTATTTCTAGCAAATGACATGATTGATGTCAATGTCTGGGCTGGCCATGCGCCTTTCGCTGGCTGGAAGAAATATGCAGCACGCTGCTGACAAGGCTTTGTCGGAGGCACATTATTTGCCCAAAAGCTGCTGAAAATTCTGAAGCTGAGTGACGGAGTGCATCAGGCTATGTTGTCATTTGCAAACAAAGGACGCCTTGTGACGCTGAGGTTTGTGACATTGACCAGCAAGCCGGTGATCGGCGGTCGATCGCACGTGGCTGAATCGATCGCGTACGCTGAAGAGAAGTTACCCGGGGTCCGTGTTGGTACCGACGGATGTCACGAGAGAAATGATGAGACTGCGGTGACATGATGCTTCCATGAGTTTGACCTAAATCGAGGACAGTGCCGCGCAGCCCTCCGCAGCATGTACCGCCTGCTCTGGCATTGCAGTATAGCGAAGCGCCCTCCGCCAATAGTCAACTCCACCTCAAGACGACTCAAGATTCCCGGTCAACCTACCCCGAAGTAGCATCAAGACAATCGAAATGGCCACCAAAGGTCAGCTCACGTTTATTGATTCTCACACTGGATCATTCCTGTTTCCTGACGCTGGATTCTCGAACGCACCTTTTCAAATCTTCAACACATATTTACTTAACAACGCTCAATTTGCTGGTCCTACTTCAATTCTTCCGCCCGATGTTTATACACACAAACCGATATCTCACCTCCAACCAACGCACTCCCTGAATTCTCACCTCAGTCCGAGCACATGAGTTGGTCACCAAGTCAAAGGCCGACCTCACCAAACAGCTTGAGGAGTTGAAGACCGAATTGGTGGCTCTCCGTGTTCAAAAAGTTGTTGGGGGTTCATCTTCCAAGCTTACCCGCATGTCAGTCATTCAATGGCCTCGCAAAGCTAGTATCTCGATCAATCCTCAAACTGATTCACAATTTATAATACACTCCACCTTCCTTCAATAGTAATGCTGTCCGCAAAGCCATCGCCCGTGTCTTGACAGTAATCCAGGCCAAGACCCGTGAAAACCTTCGAGAGTTTTACAAGGGAAAGAAATACCAACCTCTTGACCTCCGACCAAAGAAGACCCGTGCTATCCGACGAAGGCTCACCAAGGTACCCCTTCCCTTTCCGCTGCTTGCCTTGCCCTGGGACAAAGCTGATTTTGTGTTTGACTAAATTTAACTCTTTTTAGCACGAGAAACACTTGAGGACGGAAAAGCAGAAGAAGAAAGACATCCATTTCCCCAAACGAAAATACGCCCTCAAGGCATGAAACTTTTGTCTTAATCTTAGTTTTTTCCCAACTCAGATCCTTGTTCATTTGTTATGATATGTATGCTCCTGGACTCACTCTGAAAACTTCGCTTGGGAGCTCTGCGATTATGCCTTTCTCAACTATGCTTCCAAAACAGTCACATTTGCAAAACCTACCACTTAGTCCTCTCGGCCATCTTCACTAAGTTCCCTGAACCTGTCTTCACCTTCGAATGTCACCGACGGCGTCTGTAATGTGTTCTACGCCGAGAGCCTATCACTTCCCTCGCAACACCTTTCAAATATCAATTTTAATGCCAACAAGAGGTAGACGCCGCTCAGTCTTGTTACAAGTTAATCAGAGTTCTCAGGCTTGATGATGTTCTTCAATGACACGCTTGAATCTGTTATAACTTATCAGTCCCATACCAGCCAACTGGAAGTCTAGTCTCTGAGTGTCGTGCGCGAAACGCATATCTGCCTCAATTTGATGATGACGCAAGCCAAACTCCATGCTTTTTGTCATCGACCCTAACGTGAGCTTGCTTTCACTTGCACAACTATATAGCCCTCAATGTGGGAAGTTCTACATCTTTGTTGACTGCTTACAAAGGAATGATTCTGAGCTTGAAGTTTTTGCAATTTCATCTACATTGTCAGCCACTGATGGTTGCAGTAAACATGCGTTGGGTCGTGGTGTAAGAGGGAACATGTTTCCTTGCGTAGAAGATCTGATGTACATTGTAAAACTACAAGAAACATATGAAAGAATCTGATCCACTCTGAAAGTTCTTTGGTGACATTCTTGATGAGAGGAAAGACTTTCTCCCAACAGTCACTCAACCAGGGTTCACTCACACTATTCAATACTGCCACTCATCCTAAGCTGTAAAATTCAGACTTGATATCTTGGACTGGATAGATATGGATACATACATATCATTCTCTTGCTTGAATAGACCTAGATATCCTTGAGTAATGATGAGCGGCAAGCCCCACACACTCCACAAAGAATCCTTCTGTACCAGAATTTGGAGAAAAATATCATTTCGAGGCTTTTTAAATTATTTTTCAACTTTGATCAGATTAGGAAAAGCTTGAAATCCATTAGAAGCCAAAACTTCAACCCCAATAGCAGACCCTAATTTCAAATCAGTCCAACCTCTATTTTTAACAGATATACCAAGTTGATTTAAGATCTCATTCGATTTTTCAGGCATAAAAGGTTGTAATAAAATAGCCGAAAATCGAATTGATTCTGCACAAAGATAAATACTTTCATGTGATTCTTCTGATCCGGTTGAAGAATGCCATGGTGCGATTTCTGAAATTAATCGATTGGATTCGGTTAAGACTTGGAATATACTTTTTAAAGCTTTTGGAATTTCGAATGAGCTCATTGATCGATCTACTTCATCTACCAACACATCAAAATGATTCAATTTTTTTTTCGATCTTTTTGTTCCAAGAATATGGTACAAGGACTAACCTGGTAATTTTGATATCAAATCTGCTAAAGCTTGTGATCTTTCAAGTTTAAAGGATTGAGGTGGGTAGAACAATCCAGTGCCAGATTTGAGTCCGACTGGAAATCTACTCCAAAGCTTAGGGTTTGAAATCCTCGATAACAAATTACCAAGTTGACCAGCCAAATCTTTTCTGTAATGTTCATCTACTCTATCAGGGGCCCAATCTTCAAGAAGAAGCAGAAACAACATCAATCTATTTGATCATATCTAGTGTCAGAGTAAGATGAGTTTTTTTACCAGTATCATTCCATAATGATCCAGGAGCAGCCATCAGATAATATCGTAAGCCATCGACTCCCCATTCTTTCAAACTTTCAACTGGGTCAACCACATTCCCTCTAGATTTCGAAATCTTTTCATCTTTCATTGTCCAATGAGCATGAGCAATGATACTCTTAGGTAACTCTAATCCAGCTCCCATCAGCATAGCCGGCCAATAGATCGCATGAAACCTATAACATATCCCAAAGCTTTCAGTATAAAAATGTTCAAGTGAACGAGAGGCAAGGACGATCTCCACCTTGTGATATCCTTCCCAATGACATGAACGTTAGGAGGCCATTTCTCATTTTTGATTTGATCAGAAGCCCAAGGATAACCAGTGACGGTAAGATAATTGGTCAAAGCGTCTATCCAAACATAAATGATTTGATTAGGATCGTTGGGGACTCGAATACCCCATTTGAGTCTATCAGTTGGTCTTGAGATCGATAAATCAGGCAGTTCTTTCGATTGAAGCTGATTAATGATATCCGCTTTCTGTGATGAAACCAATGCTATTCTTCTCATGATCAGTTTTTTTGTTTCTTGTTCAATTTACGTAAAACGAGGATTATGTGAATACTTACCTGTGGGATTTTGGGTTAACCATTCAATCAATCTTGATTGAAAATCACTTAATTTAAACATATAGTTTTCTTCTTCAATCCATTCCACAACCTGTCCAGTTTCAAATGAAACCTTTCAAACATTAAGTTTGATCACCACAAAAGAATGAGTGATCAAAATTTGATTTTAATTGGAGAAAAGATAAAATGATTCATGAATGTACCATTTCTCCTGGATTGCGACTTTGTACTTGATTGGGAGCATAATATGTTTCATCCGAAACTGAATACCATCCTGAATAACTCCCTTTGTAAATGTGGCCATTTTCCATTAAACGATTCTAGAGCGTAAAACAAATTGATTGGTTATGTTCTCACTAGAGAAATGTCTCAACTTGAAGACGTACCCAAAATGTTTGAACAGCTAAATGATGTCTACTTTCAGTAGTTCTAATGAAATCACCATACCCGATATTCCCCGCTTTAGCCAATTCCTGACCCCCGTAAAAAAGACACAAAAAATCTATTCTCAGAACCAAGATATGAGTTTCAAAGATGGATTTCTTACACACTCGGAATCGAATAGATACAGAATCACATAGTTCAGCAGGAGTTTGATGATTTTTGATCGCAGCTCTTTCAATTTTGATTCCATGTTCATCTGTACCTGTAATCATAAATGGATGGATTGATTGGTTTAAAGTTGATTGTATCTTGAAAGTACATCTGCTATAACCATCGAATGTAAATGTCCAATATGTGGTGCTGAACAATCAGGTTCACAAGGTATTTGTTAGTTTTCAATTTCTTGATTTCCGCTTGAATTATACGTTTGGATTCCTTACATGCATTGACGTAAAAGATTGGTGTGGTGACGTAGTACGATTTGTTGCTGAGTTGATGTTGGGATTGGAATTGGACGTGCTTGTACGTTGAGAATGAGTGTTGAGAACGAATAATTTGTTTAGCTTGAATTCTTGTCCTTAGCATCGAGATAGTCCTGAAGCATGATGAATGATAGTTCATCGGATTAAGTCCTTGGGATAAGTTTCGAAGCCTTGATTAGATCGCGATCTTGAACTCTGCTCCTGATATTGAAAAGTTCTTGAGCTCAGCCGTTTCTTCAAGGTTTTTTGGGAATGTGCAGGTTAGAGCATCCCCAGCCGTGCCGTAAATTCGTACCGTACGGAGGGTCGCACGGATCGCTTAGGGTACTGTTTGATGCATGGATTTTGAACCATGCACAGCCGTGGTGCCGTACAGTACGGCTTGTAGCATAATTTGCAAAGTGTATTATGGGTTAGCTCATCATCGAGGTGTATGATTTGCAGAGAGTGCGATTGTACAGGTTGGAGTTATGGGGAAAGTGAGGTACGGAAGGATTTGGGGTGCGAGCCAAAATAGAACATATTTGGCCTATTTTGGCTCGCACGTAGAGAATTGCCTAAGCTAAGTATGTATTTGGGGTAACGGCTGTGGATAAAAATACCCCAAATCTACGTACAAGTGAG